TGTCCGTTGTTGCAGGAGTTCCTCTTATCCAGTTTTCAGCTCTGTCTCAGGGGTAATTTTTCCACGAGTAGTTGTAAATTGGCTGTGTCCATGGGAGGAGGTGAGTTCAGAGTCTGCCTACGCCGCCATCTTGACTCCCTCTCCACATCTCTGTTAATCTTTACTCCTTACTTTGGTGTTTTGTGATTAGATTTATCTCTAAAAGTTGCATCACCTTTAGCCATCAACTGAAAGGCATTCTTCTTTACCATTTGACCATTATCTGTATCTTCCATAAGCATATTTAAATCTTTATATAAGAAGAAATTATAACCTTAGGTACTGCTTCCTCTCCACATTTTAAAAGCCTTTCTATTGTATTCTTTTATTTCCAAGTCTTTGGCTATGTAATGATGAATTAGTGACCCAGGTTGACATCATTCAACTATTAATATTTTATATATAAATAAAATGGGTTTTAGATTTTCAATCTATTTTGTTTTCTACTGTTGTTTTAAAAGCACTAAACTTAACCTGATTTCATTCTTACTGTCATTTTTCCTTCCTTAAGTTTCTACTTTCCTTTAAAACTTTTCTTTCTGTATATACACCCGTACATATTCATACACTTTTAATTTAAATGCATAAATAGGATCCTGTGCAGTAGATAAGTACTCTTAACATTTTAGGACAATCATTTATTCCAGCTTGTCTCTCCCTTTCCTTCTTACTCAGTAGTACCCTGTGGACATCCCTCTAATCAACAAGTATAACACTGATTCATTATTTTGATGGCCCCACAGTATTTCATGGTGTGGCTGTGCCATTTATACTTTTGATGGTCTTTCACATTGTTTATCACAATTGCTATTATACCAATCAACAAAAATATTTTGAAATGGTTAAGTAAAAACTATGGTTCTAACAAGGAGCAATTTTGTCCCCAAGGGACATTGAGCAATGTCCAGAGACACTTTAGGCTGTGACATTGGAGAGGGGTGGGTGGAGGCCAGGGATGCTCTAAACATCCTACAATGCACAGAACAGACCCTACCAGAAAGAATGATCTGTCCCAGGATGTCAATCATACTGAGATTGAGAAATTCTCAAAGAATATCTGCATTTTTAATATTTATAGCTGAGCTCTAAAATATTACTTGCTTCTCACATCCAATCCATAACATAGATGGAATTTCCTGAGTTTACAGACAAAGAAAAAAAGGCCTAAATTTTCATTTCCTGTCATGAGAGAAATAATCAAGAGGCGTGTGTAAATTTGTTTATGCAGAAGCTGAACTACTGAGTCCAACATTTGATGACCTACTGTCAGACCTGAGGTGTGTGGGAAACTTCTTGGTGGAGAATGCCTCAAAGTACCTACATCTAATTCTAATACTGGACCAAACGTTGATGCTTAGAGTCAGCCACAGACCAAGACATGTACCATCAACATCAATAGGGAGATGGTTACAAACTTAGAAATTCTGGGCTCACCGTCGACGTGCTGCATCAGAATCTGCAACTAAACGAGACCCCCGAGTGGTTCACGTACATTAATGTGGGAGAGACTCTGGTCTAGAACAGTATTTCCCAGTCTTCTCTCTGTTGACATTTGTGTTTGATACTTCTTTGTGGTGGGGACGTCCTGTGCATTGTAGAATGTTGAGCAGCATTCCTGGCCTCACCTCTTTAGGTGGCAGTAGTACTTTCCCAGTTGTAGCAGCCAAGAATATCTCCAGGCAATGACAAATGTCCTTGCTGGCAAAATCAGCTCTGGTGGAGATCCACTGGCCTAGAGCATGACAACTGGAATTAACCTGGAATTCCAAGAAAGCTCATCATTTACGCAGTCATAACTTTGGGCAAATCACTTTATCGTTCTGAACTCTATTACTGCAAAAGTAGACTGATGTTTATAATAGTACTGACCATATAGAATGGACATTAGTAAAACAAATGAGAAAATCCATACAAGAATCTAAGCTCTGAACATGGTACATAAAAAGATCTCAACATATCTTATAATTAACTAATATTTGTTTAATAAAGGACTAAATGACAGCTCTTAATTTGTGTTAAGACATGAAACTCCTAGTTGATTTGTCAAAAGCATCCTGAAGCCAAAGGTTATAGTACCCATGGTTTTATATCAAAGGAACACACCTCTCTCCCTTGTTGAAGAGGGGAATAGCAACTTTCTGGAGATATCTGGAATCATTCCCTGCCACAAGTCAATATTTTGGAGGCCCAAGAGGTCTAATCAAAACAGATTCTTCAGTCTCAGATTTGGAAAAAAACGTTAACTCAAGATTGGGCTAAGATGCAAGGAGGTTTAGACCTCTGGTAGATGGGGGAATTTTTGGAGAAGTTGTGGTAAAAACTAGATTTACCTTGACTTCTAATCTGGTCTCTTGAGAACAGAGAATCAGCAGGAATAATTTTGTTTGTGTCTACATCAATGTCTCACAGAGAAAAGATGTGCTCAGAGGTGGAAGTAGCAATGGAAACAGTGCCTAATGTGGAGACATAGGGAGCTGTAAATATCTCCTCTGCTACACACCCTCAGCATGTGCAACACTGAGCTGGATCAACGTGGTTGCTGCTTTTGGAGTCCTAAGTCTTGCTGGGGAGCCAGTGTTTCACTCCTTCCTGCTGTCCTATCTGGGAACAGAGCTTCAGTCTCCATCATCAATCATCCAGGAAGGAACTCAGACTTCCACGTGGAACCCTTCCTCTCAGAGACCTCATCCAGGTGAGTCTGAAAGCTCAGTAGGTGCTTCACGAAAGGTTCAGGGAGAATGGAAGTAGAGAATTTTTACCTTAGGTCACTTGAGAGCCAAAGCAGACTTGCCCACAGCCAAAAAGTCACCACGTTTGTTTGTTGGGTAGACTAATTAATTTATAGTTAATTTATTTGGTGTGTTAAAATGAGGAGTGTCTTTTGGACTCAGAAATACAAGGATTATTGTTATAACTAAGTAATGGGAAAAGATGTCCAGTTGGATGAGAATGAAAAAGGAAAGGGAGGTATAAACTGGTTCCAGTAAAATTAAAACATATCTGAGGAGTTTTGCACTTCAGAGGATTTGTATAATATAGTATTAGGTTTTGAAGCCTGTGCAGTGAACTGAGGGCAATTTTTAAAAATGTTTAACATGGGCTGTATTTGATCATGTTCTGTATTAGAAATCCCAGAACAAGGAGGTAGATGTTACTTTGCAACAGCATTTCTTGAGATGTGCATTTCACAGTATTGTCTGGCATGTTAGGTATTCACATAAAGATTTGTATTTAATATGCAAAAATAATTATGCTAATGAGCTTTGCTTTAAAATTATTTCATTACCTAGAGGTGGAGAAGCAATGGAGACATTTGAGAGGTAGAAGAAAAAATTTGGCTTCAGCTCATCAGCAGTGATAATCATTCATTAACTAACATTCATTAGGTATGCTAAGAATTTTACGTATATTGACTAAATCTGTTGACCATCTCCAGGCAATGGATACCGCCATCCCCACTACTTGAGTGAGAATATTAACATTCAGAATAATTCCACTGCTCTCCATGGACCAACAGCTAATATGGGGTAGATCCAAGATTCAAAATTCCATTTTCTGATTCCCTCGTTTTGCATTTGATATCATTTAGAAAGTCTTTTACCATTTCATCTTTAAAAATCCCCACTATTGTTGTATGTTGTATATTTTCTGTTATAAATTGAGGGCTTATTCCCTTTGCTAATTTTTCTAGTGAGATGTTCAATCAGTAAGGTGTCTTCACATTGTAAGATATCATTCCTTTCTCCTGAGAATAAATTGTTTTTTTCTGTTGTGTTAGTTACTCTGGGCATCAAGGGGATATGTGTGGTTGGAATGCTGCCAGAACCAAGGAAACTTTCTCCTCATCACAATCTCGCAGGGACCACCTGAGCATTTTAGATCTTTTTCCCCACTCATTTCTAAATGTTTCCTCTCTTTGTTTTTGTAGTGAGATGTTCAATCAGTAAAGTGTCTTCACATTGTAAGATGCTTCCTTAAACACAGGACACAAATGGTCATATGAATATGGATCCCCACGGTTACGTGTTCATGGGGGGCTTTCTAACTAGAATTTGGGTGCTGGTTTTACATTCTTTAGGGTAAAGACAATCTAATGTTGACAGCTTCCTGTATCATTTATTTCCTAATTATTGTGGCTGGAGAGAGAAGAGTCTGGTAGTAAGGTGTCCCCTGAAGGTCATAGTGCACTGCGTGTATGTTTGTTGCGTGTGCACCTGTGTGTTTTGTGGGGCATGAGCAGTTCTCAGGTGAGTGGTACGTAGCCCATGTACTCCAAAATTGGCCCTAAAAATACAGACACAAGAATGTCAGCCAACAGAGGGAAATGAGGGGATTGTTTCCTCTGAGAAGATCCCTCAGAAACAAAATTAATGAAGTGTGAGGAACAACGTGAATGAGTGACTCCCTGTGTCTTGAAGTTTCAGCTGCAGCTGGGAGGCCATCTCATTCCTCAGCATCCTCTGACACCATCTCATCACTCTCCCTCTTGCTCATGCCCCTCACCACTCTGGCTCCATTTTGAGTCTTGAACATCTGAAACAAGCATTTCCTCAGCGTCCTTTCTCTGGCTCTTTCCCCTGCAGAGCACCTACTTCCCCAGGCTACTTTCTGTCTCCACTTTGTCTTCCTTGTATGCAGGTATTCCTGAATTCCCAGTAAAAAAAATAACACCTCGATTGACTCTTTTTATACCTACTTTTTTTCTTCATAGCACCTGTCATCATGTGACGTGATATGTGATTTTTAATTGCTTATATTCTTTCACAACCATTATGTTCTTGGATTTCTGTTTCTCAGCACCCTATTCTTTTTGACTAGAAGACAATACTCAACATGTATTCCTCAAATCATAAAAGAATTTCTCCTTAAAATTGTGTAATACGTGATGTCTTGGGGAAAAGTCTGAGTGGGAAAGGAATTTACAGTCAGACATGTCAGGGGAGATCCCTTAAATGGGATCAGATCCATACAAAGAATATGTATTGATTTCTTGACTGTAATATATAAATTGCAGCATTTTCACTGTTAGTAAAGCCCATTTGTGTGAAAATTAATCATGCTATTTTTTCATTCCTAGTCCTAACCACTACTACATAGTACCAGGCAATGATACACAAATTTCAGAATTTCTTATTCTGGGATTATCAAAGGAACCAGAACTGGCACCCCCCATATTTGGACTTTTCCTCTCCATGCACCTGATCACTGTGTTTGGAAACATGTTATTTCAACTGCTGGTTCTGGTGTCCTGGTTCATAAGTTCCCTGCATTTCTCGTTAGAAAGCTTAATGGTTTTGTGGCTGTCCTTCTCTACCAACGTGGAAATCCTCCACTTTTTTTTTGTAAAATCAAGCAGGTCCCACTTGCCTGTTCTGACACCTTTCTTAATGACAATTACGTATTTTGCAGCAGTGCTGCTGGCTGGTGGTCCCTTCACTGGTGTCCGTCACTCATGCTCTAAGATGGCTTCCTCCATATGTGGAATCTCGTCAGCTCAGGGGAAGTGTAAAGCTTTTTCCACTTGTATGTCTCCTCTCTCAGTTGTATCCTTATATTATTGTTCGAGCCTAGGCGTGTACCTTATCTCTGCTTCTACCCACAGTTCACACTCTAGTGCAACAGCCTCGGTGATGTACACCGCGGTCACACCCATGCTGAATCCCTTCATCTACAGTCCAAGGAAGAAAGACATAGAGGGGGCTCTGAAGAGTCATTCAGAGGGTAGGTATAAAGAAGCAAATTGTTGTCGGGCTGAATAAGTGTCCGTGATTGCAGGTCTCAAAGACTCAGAATCAGAAATTGCTATTATTTGATCAGGTTCTGGGTATTGAACTTGTTCCTTATATTTATTCCTGGAATTTCAATTTCTTTGATATCCACCTTTTACAGAATTTATGTGACTTACTTTTGGAAGCCTTCTGCTCTACCTGATGTATAGGCAGTTCCCCCCCTTGTCCATTTTCTTACTTTCACAAAGTTTTTCCCAACCTTAGGTCAGAAATATTTGGATATTCTCATTTATTTCTTGGGACACTTGGAAATACTTAATAATAAGTAGGTATTTAATGGGGTTACTTAATAATAATTTCTTCTCAAGTAATTTTTGTCTAGTTTTCCTGACAGAATAGTCATGAGTTGTATTACTCACATAAAAAAAAAAACTACACGTGACAACTAAGGCAATTTATATAGTTCATTTCAGCAAAATATGAAACTACAGTTTCCACTTGGGTCAATCATTTTTTCTTTGTCACTTCCTTGTCTTCTCTTACTGGTAATGTAGACTTAATATGCTACTGTGTTTTATAACTGGTCTCCTGGTTTTTGTCTTATTCGGCTCAGGGTCCACAATGCCTATGACAGTGACTGGCAAAAACTGATTATCAAATACATATTTCCCAGTGGAGTCTACATGGAAAGACAAATTTGCATGCATAGATTGACCTAATATAGTCTTAGTGTCAGAGATGACCTTAAAAATAAGGAAGGAAAATTTCAAATCACATGTTTTATTACCATGCTAAATATTTTTTTGTGCTGTACATCTACTCATTGAAGTATGGAAGATACTCCATCAGTGAGGGGGTTTATTCATTGAAGTGAAGGATTGGTTGGAGTATTTTATGTTCTGTTACTTAATTATCTTCCTGTTTCTGCTTGAAAACATCTAATGCAACCTACAAATATGACTCTTTCTATTGTTCTATGAAATATCGCCCCCTTGCTATATTTAGTCATAACCACTAAAGGGCCAGTGAATTAACAATATCAAGGTCATTCATTATATACCTCCTTCATGCTCAGGAACCTCTTCCACCTTCATGATGAAAGGGTGCCTCACGAGAGCTTGAATTCCTGCACTGCGATATGATACAGGGTCAGCTTTGTATCTTATTCCTGTCTTCTATAGCCCTACGATAAGGAGTCAACAAACACCAACCTCGCCATGCGAAAAAAAGAAACATCATCTCTCTTTTCCTTTCCACCGTCTGCAAAGCTTTGGTCACAGCTAATGGTTCATATCTCGCAGACAAACATTCTAAGATTCACATAATCCTGACCTACAAGCCCACTCCCCAGCCAGAGTGCAAAAGGGAGGGTCCTCCCATCCTGGAATTCTTCCACCTTGGCTTCAGTTACCTTTTGTTTGAACAGGAAAGCCATCTCCTTAATCGACTCCTGCTCACAGTGCCAATTATGTTATGAGAGATTCGGGGGGATTTTATCGGAGATGTAAAAGAAACTTTCCACTACAAGCAAATTGACTGAAGTTATATTTTATTATATAGAGGGGAGTAAAGGCGATAGTCCACAAACAGATCCGAATAGGTCAAATATTGAGAGGGAAAAACACCAGCGCGATCGGAAAGGGAAACACTGGATCAGCTGAGACAGTTGCAGATTCGAATAGATCATATAATGAGAGGGAAAAACATCAGATCGACTGGAAAGGGAAAACATCCACATCGACTGAAGGGAAATGACACAAATCAGTCAGAAAGAGAAACAGCAGGTTGACCAAAAAGAGAACACATCAGATCAGTTACTTACAACATCCACGCCCCACTGCTGGGAGAGTCTCTTCAATTGACACCGCTGGGCAGAAATCACATGTCTCGGGCAAGGCATCCCTTCCACAGGTGGAACTCTCACCAGGCCTCAGTTTCCAGCAGTTTATGTAATCAGTTACAGAGTTTATAGAGCAAGGCAAGCATTCAGTGTTCCCATGCACAAATGGTTATCAGTGGCATACATGCACTGAGCCTCCTGGCTGTCGTCCCAGCCAGGCAGTTGTGTATGTGCATTGTTTACCCTGGTTATCATCCCAGCCCGGCACAGATGGCCAGTCTGCCCCAGGCCATGATGCCCAAAGGACCTTGAAATTCTTACAAATTGCAACTATCTCCGTGAGAGAAAGGCCAGTTCCCAGGAAAAAGGCCAGTTCCCACCACACAGAAAGCAGCTTTGTATTTCTTTGTGTGCTGGTGGCTGTAGGTTAATGGAACGGCCAAACATGGCTGTACTCATGTCAAGACATCCATATATGACACGTTGCTTTCTATCCAATGAGAAGATGTATCTCCCACCTGTTAAACTGTGACAGCTCCCTGTGCTCCAGATCCTACCCAGAGTTTTTAATCATTAGACTTTTTTCCCTTTAAATTAATTTATCAGAGTATAACAACATGCAAAAAACTGCATATATTAAAATGCAAAATTTGCATACACCTGAAATTTATACAACGTTGTAAGCCAATATGACCTGAATAAAATAATTTTTAAAAAATAAATAAATAAATAAAAAGCTGTAGGCTTCTCAAGGAAGGGCTGTGCCTTGTATCACCCTGAACATGGCATGTTTTACCCACAATAGATTCTGAATAAATACATTCAAGCAATTTTTACCTACAGGATCAACATTAAATAAGAATTCTTCTCAGAGCCAGACCAGTGGCACAAGCAGTTAAGTGTGCGCGCTCCGCTTCAGCGGCCCAGGGTTCGATGGTTCGGATCCCGGGTGCGCACTGCCGCACCGCTTGTGAGGCCGTGCTGTGGCAGCATCCCATATATAAAGCAGAGGAAGATGGGCTTGGATGTTAGCTCAGGGCCCATCTTCCTCAGCAAAAAGAGGAGGATTGGAAACGGATGTTAGCTCAGGGCTGATCTTCCTCACACACAAAAAAAATAAATAAAATAAAATAAAAATATTAAAAAAAGAATTCTTCTATCCAATTAAACTTTTACAAATGCCAACAAATTAAATAAATAAAATGTAACATTTGCTGAATTAAAGGAGCCATGCAGAAATTAAGTATAAATACTGCATGGGTCCATTTACATATAATTCAAGAAAGTGCACAAACATTTAATTTCTTTGTAATGTAATCATAAATAATTGAATATCCCTGAGCCTTATTTTCCTTATTTCTGATGGTAATGTGGGATGAGAAACCTAACTCCGATGAATGTTGTGAGGAATAAATGAAATGTGTGGAAATACTTGAGTTCAAACACTCTTTCACAGTTGAGGAGTATGTGTATGTATATGTGTGTGTGTCTTTATATATGATTTTCTTTCAAATAAACACACACTCATATGTAAACACAGGATAATTAATAATTTAATCTTTCATGTTGAAAGGAAATGAGAGGAAGTTGGAGAGGATAGAAAGAAAAAGAATGAATATTTGAATTAATAAAAAATTTGAAAGAAAGTATAAATTTTGACATAAATATTTAGAGTAGAATGGATGGCCTTTATTTTAATAATGAATTACTTTTTCTCTCTTAATGCCTCAAAAGCATCAAAGTCAGAACCATATTCAGGTTTAGGCAATGCGAAATTCACTGTACGAGCTAATGGAGCCATAATCTCCAAGCTGACTTTACTTTTCTTTTTCTATTTAAGGAATTAAGGTGGGATTTCAACACAAAATGCCATTACATAAAGGGAGCTAACTAAATGAAGTTAGGGGCTTAAACTCAGTTCCCTTGAACAGAATTTTACTAGTCAAATGTCTGTATTAGATTCCAATTGCTGCTGTAATAAATTACACTAGTGGCTTAAAACAAACAACTCCCTGTCTTAAAGTTCTGGAAGTCAGAAGCATGAAATGGATCTCAGTGGATAAAATCAAGACGTCTGCAGGGCTGGGCTCCTTTTGGAAGCTGTGTGAGAGAATGCATTTCTTTCCTATTCCAGTTTCTAGAGGACATCTGTGTTCATTGGCTCAGGGCCCTTCCTCCATCTTCAAAGCCAGCAGTGTGCATTTCCAAATATCCCTCTGATTTCAGTTCTTCATGCTCTCTCTTCCACATTTAGAGGACCATTGTGATTACATTAGCCCAATCTTGATAATCTGAGCTAATCTTCTTATCTTAAGGTAAATGATGAGTAGATTTATTCCATCTACTACATTATTTCCCTTGCTCTATAAGCTATCATCTTCAAACTTGTTGGGATTAGGATGTGGACATCTTTTAGAGATCCTTATTCTGCCTACTGCAAAGTCTTACTCAGTTGTATATTATTTTAATTCACTCAAGAGCCATTACATTTAAAAGAATTGAAGACAGAATTTATTACAGCCTCTAGAGTGAGTGGAAATTTTTCTTTCAAAATTATATGTAGAGATGATTCTTGGTGTATAAAACCAAAAACTACCTACACCTGACTCTAACACAGGAACACAGACTTGCTACATAAAATGTGGTCCACAGACGAGGACCTGCAGCATCAGCATCACCTGGGAGCTTGTTAGAAATGTGGAGTCCTTGGGCACACTGGAGATCTGATTAGTCAGAATTTGCATTTGAATTACAAACGTTGGTAATTTGTTATGCACAATGAAGTTGGAGAAGTGTTGGTCTAAAACAGTCTTCTCACTGTTGACATTTGAAGCTGGATAATTATTTGTGCTGGGTGCTGTCCTGTGCACTATAGGTGTTTAGCAGCATGCATTCAGACATTGCCAAATAGTTCCAGGGGGGAAATTATCTCTGGTTGAGATAAAACACTGACCCGAGTTTGAGAACTAAAAGCATCCTGACAGATTCCAGTTCAGACTCCATTCCTTACTTGGTTTATACCATTCAGCAGACTATTAAATCCCTCTGAGTCCCATTTCCACAATGGAGGAGGTAGTTCACCAAAGTATTACCTCACAGATTGAAGTTTTCTAAAAATTAAATCAGACCACCCCTTTAATGTGCTAATGGGGTGCATAACATCTAAGTGTATCTCCCTCATACACTGCTA